TTTAAAAAATGTTTATGACTTAATCGTTCAAAATGTGAAAAGTCTATTACCTTTTTTTTTTCAGACTTTTTCCATTATTTTAACACATTAACCGGTTTGTATATATGTATTCAACATGTTTTAGAAATTCCAAGAAGTTATTTAACAAATTTTGGAGTGTCCAAAGACTTATTTGTTCCAAAAAATTATTTAAGAACTTAGGCGGTGTTTGGGATTGCTTATTAACTTATTTCGGTGTGATACCGGTGATAAGAAGTTTTTAGTGTTTTGATGGAAAAAAAAAAGAAATGCTTATACCGGTTTCGCATCAGTAATGAGAAGTTTTTAATAAGTTGTTTTCTTCTAACTAATTAACTTATTCTGGTGTTCTACCGGTAATAAGAAGTTTTTAATGTTTGGATGAGAAAAGAAAAAGGTATCTCATCGATTTTATCAGCTTATCCGGTGTGGTAGCCCCATAAACTAATCCAAACACTTTTTTATAAAATTTTAGGTTACCCCCACATAAGTTGATAAATACTTTTACAAAAAAAAAACATAAGGTTGTTTTAAATAAACAATCCCAAACATCCTTGATCATTCCAAACATTAAATTCCACTGAGTTTTTTTTAGACTTTTTTCCTTTAAAAACTCTATAAAGTTGGGGCATTTTGGTCCATTTACTATCTTATTTCATTTTATGTTAATAAAAGTAATTTATATAATATTTACATGTTTTAGAGTAGATTACATTCTTTGTCCCTGTGCTAGGGGGTGTAAATGATGTGAGTCGAGCTCGAGTATCACTATATTCGACTCGAACTCGAAACTCAATTTTCAAGCTCGAACTCGATTCGAAAACTCGTGAATAGTAAAAATCAAAGCTCGACTCGAACTCGATAACTATTTCTCAAGCTCGAACTGCAACTCAAATCAAACTTGAACTCGAACTTGAACCAATGAAAAACATTTATTGAGTTTTTTTTTCGTACTTACCGAGGGTCACTACAAGAAAAGTGAGCTATGACAATACGCCTTTTAGCGATGATATGTTTCCGCCACAAGTTATAATGACGACATGTTATGGTTATATACTCTTTCTGATGATAAATGAAATTTTTGCGACGACAAAATCGTTGCTAAAAACCTTGTTTCTTACAGTGAGCTCTGTTTTTACGTGCGTTCAGGGCCTATAAAATACCAAGAACAAACCTACTGAACCTGACCCTGTATATATATATATATATGTGTGTGTGAGAGAGATAATATAATATAAAACAATGTAAGATATAAATATTATTTTTCTTAAAAATTATATTAGGATAAAGAAAAAAAGATGATAAAAAGACAAAAATACCCCTATGAGTTAATTGGGTTAACATATCTTCTCAAAGAGAACGGCTTAAAGCATACATTTTTACATGTCGATGTTCTAAGAGTGTAATAAACGCATTTAAGAGATGATAGTAAATGACAATCAATAAACTACAGGGACCAAAAATGTAAATTTAATGCTTATATATACACACCAAAACAGACACATTACGACGACTACACCCTCTTTATATGCCTTAACCCTAATGATTCCCACTCACCGGTGGCTTCTACGGTGTTGTTTTCACCGGCAGAAGAACCACCGGAGGAACCGGACTTCTTCTTCGGAGTTCCATTGATAACCTTGCTTTGGAACAACTCTCACACTCCCGACTCCACGATGTTTTCCCGATCGATCAAACGCCTAAATCCAAAAAAACCCTAAATCGGTAAGAACAACAGGTTAGGTTCTTCATCTTGGTTTCATCTAAACATATTCAATAAGGGACACCAACACAGACACAGTACGGCGACTGCTCCCCCGTTGTATCCCTTAACCCTAATGCTTCCAACTTACCGGTGACTTCTGCGTGTTGTTTACACCGGCGAAGAACCACCGGAGGAACCAGACGACTTCTTCTATGTTTCATTGATAACCTGGCTTTGGAACAACTCTCACACTCCCGACTCCACGATGTTTTCCCGATCGATCGAACGCCTAAATCCAAAAAAACCCTAAATCGATAAGAACCACTGGTTAGGTTCTTCATCTTGGTTTCATCTTCAATAAGGTTTGGGTTTCATCACAAACTGAGTTGATTACTTCTATATGTATGCACATAAACATGGATTTGCTTGTGCACAAGTGTATACGTTGATGCGAATATGTGTACTTGAGTGGATTATCTCTTGGTTTTTATTTGGATTGCAGATTTGGTTTCAATGAGTTTTGTACTACAGTTTTTTCAATGAATTTGTATATTTTTGATGTTATTGATTTTGATTGTTGGCAGGGTTGCATATGCGTTGTATTTGTGGGGTTGATGTCTTTCAACAACTCGACCATTGGGTTGAGGTTTGATAATCTTGACCCAACCCAAACAAAACTGTAACCTAACCCAAACCATTTGGTTCGGGTTGGGGGTGGGTTTAAATTATCTTCCCTCAATTCCAATCCAACCGGCGTGGTTTGGTGTAATTTTACATCAACTATGTATTATGTTATATTGGGGGAATAAGTTATCAAAAACTCCTTATCAACATTTTGACATCACTATAAGCTTTTTTATTTTTTCATTCAAATACTAAAAATTGCTTATTACCGGTACCCTATTGTAAGCAGTTTAAATAAGTAATCCCAAACCCACAATTAAGGGTAGGAGTTTGGTTGGTTAATCGGGTTGAAGACGTTTGAATAATCCAATTCAATGCTTGTGGTTTGAAAAATCTTAACTCAACCCAACCTGACCCAAACTGTACGGTTGATTGGGTTGATACTTGGTATATCAAAAATATTTGGTATATCAAAAATATTCTTTTAAACTTGAATATATTATTTCTTTATACATAATTTCTTTTTTATCATCAGTCATTTGATATAACTGTCTTTTTGTAATGGTCATAAATAACAGTTAATATGATGGAGAAAATTTCTTTCTTAATAGTTAAAGGGTAAAATTGTCTTTTTATTAATTAAAAAGTGTAATAATTAAATATTTCTTATGATTTTTTCATTGTCCGACATTTATTTTGTAAGAGATATAGTATTATTAACTAATAGTTTATAATTTACATTTATTAATAATTAATAGTCATAAATAACAGTTAATATTACTCAAGGATATAAGTGAAAGAAACTGCAATAGAATTTTTTTGGATCTTATGTTTGTCAAATACGACGTTAACTTTATAGGATCAAACAAATATGTGAATTATGTAAAAGTGTTTCAATAAGATTATAAAACGTTTTTCAATGATTTTACGGTTTTTTATGACAATTTAAAATAAAGTGTCATGTTTTTTTTATAAAAAAGAAAACTTTTGGAAGTTGTTCTATGAAATAATATATCTATGTAATATTCATCATGAACACTTGTACATGTTCACATGTATGCAACAACTTTTAATATTCATACATCAATATGATATTCATTATGAACATACAATTCACTTTAACATTCATCATGAATAGTTATGTATTTTCATGTGTAGTAAACAAATCTTCAGTATTCATACATCATTATGACATTCGTCATTAGTATACATTTTTATTGTAACATTCATCATGAATATAACCCGCTATGATACCCAAGTTGGTTGAGACCATATCCGAATTCGTGTAGCTAACGAGGCCAAATATAGACGATCCCACCACCATAACCTCATCTCCTTTGAGTTGCAAACTGCAAATCAACAAGAACAAACACAGACGAGCATCATGGGGTTCATAACAGGGACAACCGTTGAACAGTGAGGGGGATGTCCCTAAAATACCTAATTCACGTTTTAACAATTAGGATGATCCCATCTACGAACAATTATCTAATTCACTTGTGAACAACTATATCATTTTATGAACAACTGAATAGTTCACCAACGAATAGCAGTGCATAAGATAACATCTTGTATATTCACCTATGAATTGTGTTAGTGTTCCACAAATGAACTTATGTCCAAGTGTTTCGCCCATCTTGGACGAAGTACTGAAACTTTGACAAACATGAACTACTACGTTGATATATCCCCTCATTAATTCAAAACCAATACTATTGATAAGGTAGGAATATTATTTTGTAACTGGTTGAAATAAAAATAATAAAAAACTTTATTTTACAAAACTACACCTAATCCTAAAATCAGTCAAGTTAGGAAACAAGAACAAACCGTATGATTGGTTGAAATGAGTTTTTAAAGTTAACACTATTTAGGTGTCATTTACCAAATGTTTACTAAGTCATTTTACTTTACCAGATGAATATGACAAGGACTAAAAATCTTACCTGGTAAAAGCGAAGGCAAGAATCGATAGTCTTACGCGGTAAGTGAGGACGATAAGTCTTACCATGGTTGCGCTTACCAGGATAAATTGTTGCATACGATGCGTTTTAGTGAATAAAATCTTACCCGGTAAGTAAGCGATAGTGTTGAATTTTACCGTTAAATGCTTACTGGGTAAATGTTTAGGTAAACTGCCCTTAATTGGTTAAAAAATAATTGAGGTTTTATGTATAATATAATATAAATATAAATGTAATAGTATAATATATATATATATATATATATATAATATTAAATATAATATAAACATAAAGATACATATTATATATTATACATTTATAGTTAGTTATTTAATTTACTTTGTATCTTTTACTTTTTTATTTTACATATTTATTATATTAATACACATAATTGTATATTAATTAAAATACATAAAAAAAATACATTTTTTTATTTTTACAAATTACATCTCGTTAATATGTTTAAAATAAACACAATATTAAATATTTTTTGATTCAATCTTATATTATTAAATATTATAAATATATACAAATATTAAATATTATAAATACATAAAATATTAAATGTGATAATAAATTCTTATGATAAAATTTAATAATATAATCGATATTAAAAATAAATAAAAAAACATAAAAAAATTGATACACGTAAAGTACGTACAAAACTGCAACTTTTTTGTTTGTTGTGTGGCTTCTCTAAACCGAAAGAACACGAAGCATACAAAAATCGTTTCTCTCATCTCATCATCACCATCACCATCACCGATTCTAAACACCATCAGACACACGCTTTGATTCAAGCAATCCCAAATTCACAATACCCTAAATCCTCTTCTTTCCCCTAATTGCAACCCTAAGTCTCAGGTACCATCTTTGATTGCTGTTCAATTTCGGCCTTTTCTCTCTCAATCACTTGTGAAGAATTTTTGGATTTTGATTTCTTGTCTGAACTAGTCTTCAATTTTGTGTTTGTGTTGTAGTGATCATGAATGATTGGAGAAGAAAGGATGATCAGTGTAATCAACAAGTCGCAAGAACCAAGTCTAATAATTATCACAGAAAGCCACCCTTTGGTATGATTTCATTATCGTTGTTAAGAGTTTTGGAATTATTTTCATGTGGATTTTGTTCTCTTATACATTTCAATCTGTAATTGTTTTGTATTAGTTTAGTGTCTTGTTTGCATGCATTTTTAGTTTTCAACTTATAGGGCAAACGGTTTGCAATTGGTGTTGTTAGTTAATTCATTACAATTTTGTTGAGAGATTATCAAAACCCTCTGTACGTTCAGATCAAACTTAGGGGCTGTTTGGGAGTTTGTTAAATGGTTTGGTGCAGAATGATTAATTGATCAATATGATTAAGAGGCTCTCATATATAGTGCAAAATAAAATATAATTGTTTGGTAATTGTTTAAAATAAAATTAGAGCACTGGTTAAGTGAGGCCCATGATACAAAATCATTCAGACGGTTTTAGAACCATTAAGAGGCAGACTTTGTTTCTGCCAAACAAGATTCACCTCTTAATGATTCAGATGTTGCCTATTAATGGAACCATTAAGAGGTAAACAAACAACCTCTAATGTAATTTTAACATTACCCTTTGATTGGCTTATGCTCTTTGTGGGGTTTATTTGCAAAGAGATATCCACTTTCTGGTCTTGCTGTCATGTCAACCATTGCAAAATTCAGATAAAAGTTTCTGCAAAATTCATGAGATGATTAACAAATGGGGCCTTTGGGAAATGCATTAATGATGTTGTTGAAGAATGGGTAGAGACTAGTTCTCATGATTAAGATTATATAGAATTGGAACCAAACGGAATGAACCCAATATATCCCACGGAGAGGTAGGATGTATGCAAAGAAAACATAGATTAACAGGAAACAAGTGCGGTAAGTAGCAGAGAAGTGTGTACAAACAAGCAACATGTACAGTGCGAGGGACCAAGATAAGATAGAACTGCTTTTCGTCAATTGTGAATTCCGTTGTGTTGTTGCCTTTTAGATGAAATCTCTTGTTTGTTTTCTCCTATTTATATGGTAAGCACTTAAATGTGGAATTCCGCAATCGTTTTCTAGGGGTTTCTTTTGTATTGTTTCTTCATACGTTCGTCTTCCTTCCATATTTGATTGTGGTTCTTTGAACCCTAAGTTCTCTATAACGACTCTTCAGAGGTCTCACTTTTTTCTTTCCTTCTAGCTACGTACGTGGTGTTTATCCTGTCGAGCATAAATATCTAATACAATTGTTTGTAGATGAATGCTGGCTTCCTACTTTTATATGTATGCCGTGATCTAATTTTTAATTTTTCGACAATTTGGGAAACCGGTCTCATTGGGTCATCTGGCTCTCATGATTATCTTTCCATTTCTTAGGATTTCTTTTGTGTTGTTCATCTTCTTGTTTGCCATAAATGCTGTTTAAGCATGAACGTTTACCAGAGATTTATGCGTATGCTTTAAGAAGAAAGCTCATTAGGAGTCTTGACATTTCACATGGATACAATATACTAGCAAAAAAGTTAACATGCAAGGATGCGTCACGAACAAGTTAATAGTCTTAGATGTTCTGAACAAGTAAACGAAGGAATATTAGAAAGCCTTTTGAAAACCTAAAGATGACACACGGGTATACAACACAAATTGATGGGTGATAAATGGTTCAATTATGAATCTTCCTTTTTTAACCTATTTTCTCCCAAAATCCACCAAACACTCGCTGCCCAAGAGGCCCTAGTTCATGTGGAAGGGATGCATTGCATGAACTTGTTAACTAGTTGGGCGAAATGTGCTAGAAATAAATGTTTGGAGATTCCTTCATCCTTTCGCCGTTAGTCAAAATCTGTAATGCTATCATACATTAAGGGAAGTTATTATTACTTCAAATAGGTCGGAGGTTTCTTATGTTAGAAATATGGAATTTCTTTGGTTCGTCCTGTGTGACTTTTAGCTTGTCAGGCTCTTTATATTTTTTTTATAACTTTGTCTTCAAAGGCAAAAAACCAGCTTTTTTTATGCTTATATGTGGCCTATTATTGTGTTTTATAGATATGTTTCTTAACCTCTTTTACAAGCCGAGAGGTAAGGTCTGCATTAATCTTACCCCCTGCATACCCTACTTTCGAGTCGGATATACTAGGTCTTCTTTTTGGTGCCTAGAAGTCCAAAGATGGCGTAGTATCAACATCTTATACATATCCGGTCACCAAACAATAAATCTACTACACTCCCAGATCTAAATTTCATAAATACCGAGGAGAATTAGAAAGAATTTGAATCCTCTTGACGGCTAATAGATCACTGAATTCCTTCATAATTACCCTCTTTCGAGTGTCTTCACTGCTGATACCTTGCAACAGCAAACCATCGTTTTTGCTCTCTGCAAAGTTCAAGTTCATGTGAAATTTGGTTTTCATGATGGGGGTTTACTGCATGATGCCTGCCTATCCAGTTTTTCTACAATTCTTTTTTCTTTCCAGAAGTATATAGTATTTATATACGGCAAATGAAATTCAGGGTTTTTTACAATGTCTTCTATCCAAGTAAATCTTATGGCCACTCTATTTTTTTGGGTAGAGTACACGTCTGCATATTTTCAAGTGAGATATAATGGGTTTGTTTGGTTTGGTGCCCAATAAATTTTTATGCTTTACATCGATTAGCGAAGAGGTTTTAATTGTTAATTCACTCTTCAAAAATGTGAAATCTTGACTTTTGAGGTAAATAGAACCCTGTTTAGATATACAAGCAGAGCATATGATTCTAAAAGTTAGATGATTTACTTAAAAAGAAAATACTGTTTCAGGTGGGAGTCCAAAATGGCAACAGAACCTTCCCTCATGGGAGAAAAGATTTGTGACTTCAGTGGGATCATTATCATGGAAGAAGTTCTTGGAAGCAAAGGAATTCACCCATCTCTATGACAATATATTGAAATGGGATGATTCTGCAGGAGAAGAAGCGTTTCGCAATGCAAAAGATAGATTCTATGCAAAAATTCACGGTCTTCCCTGTGACATTCAACTTCCCAAGCCAGATTCATTCATTGATGAAGTGGATTGGAATTCTGAAATAGATCAGGATCTCATACTGGAACTGGAGTCCGATTCAGTGGCTCCTGATTCCGATTGTAAGCATGAACCAGTTGTGATCTTTGGGGACGCCATCCCGGACCCCTATCAACATTACTCGCCTTATGGATGGGGAGATGCCGATGATAAGATGAAGAAAACTGAGAATGGTGAAAACGATGGGATAAATTGGGATGATTATGTGAATAAATGGGATGATTGGGATGTTGGACCTGGGAATCATTGGTGGGGTTGGAACGAAAATGATGATAATAATAATAATAAAGCGGAAGGAGATCAAGGCTGGAATGATCAAAAGAATAACCATCATTCGCATGTGAATAATGAGAGGTGTATATCAAGCCATAAAACATGCAGGTATCATGGAGATAAAAATCGTTTTTCGAGGAATAACGGGAATCGGAGGAAATCAAGTAGTCAAGGCCATGGAAATCAACGAATGCAAGTTTCAACGATTCAAGGCCATGGAAATCAACGTATTCATGTGCACCCCTGAGTCACAAAAGTTAGAGACGGGTTGTGCTTAAAAAACCCCCGTTTTCTTGAATTTAAACAACGTTTACATCTTTTTGCGGTTAGTTTTGTGAATAAAGCAAATCCCTTTTGGGGAGATTTTGGGTAATGTTTAAAATGAATTTGGGAGAGTTTACAGTGTCAGTAGAAGTTCTTTGTGTTTTCTCTGTAGATGCTTACCTTTATAGTGTACTGTTCTTCAATGTTCAGTGACAATTTTTCATACTGGCTATAATTTGTTCTTTCTTTATGAAAGGTGAAACAAACAGGGTTATTAGTTAAATGAACTCTACATGACGAGTTTTTAGGCATTCTTATGTATTAAGCAGTGGTATTCTCAGAAGGTCGGGGAATAATTTGTTGACGTAAAAAGGTCATTTAGCCAAAGCACCCGAATAATTTGTTGGCTCGGAGGTGGAGTGATGGGACATGATTCACATGCAAACGTAGGGTACTGTTTTTAAAGAATCGGTTTAATCGCTGTGTCGTATTCATTAAACATTGTCATTACCTGAAATCTCTCGAAAAGGGATTTGCTTTATTCACAAAACTAACCTCAAATAAATGAAAACGTTTCATTTAAATTCATGAAAACGGGATTCTTTTAAGCACAATCCGTCTCCAGCCTTTGTGAGTCACTCGTGCTCATGAATGCGTTGATTTCAATGCCCTTCAATCGTTGAGACTCGCATTCGTACATTTCCATGGCCTTGACTAGTTGACTTCCTCCGATTCCCGTTATTCCTCGAAAAACAATTTTTATCTCCATGATACCTCGATGTTTTATGGCTTGATATACCTCTCATTATTCACATGCGAATGATGGTTATTCTTTTGATCATTCCAGCCTCGATCTCCTTCCGCTTTATTATTATTATTGATAATCCCATTTATTCACATAATCATCCCAATATATCCCATTCTTATCATCATTCGCAGTTTAATGAATGAAGCTATTCTATGATCGTACGTACCCGGATAGAGATGATAGTCTTCCTCTGATGTCTCCAAGCCGGCCATAATAGAATCGATAGGCGAAGCAGCCAATAGCAGTCTGTTCTCGCCTATCGATAGATAGCAGGTTGCTTCCAAACTCAAACCATTTGCAAACGGAATTGCTACCTTTTTCTTGTTATTGATAGAGTGGTATTCTCCGCTCCTGTCAAATAAAATAGACCAAGACTCTTTCTCCAATGAGAATAAAGAAGTTTTTGGGCATACAATCTACGTAAGCAGAGTTCTTCGAAACGATCTTCCCGTATAAAGAACAAGAGGGTAATACCAACACATGGAAATTGGTCTGTTTATCTTCGGGTCATAAGGTCATTGGCCACAAATGGATCTCCAAAAGAAAGTTGAGACTCGATGGCACTATAGAAAAATACAAAGATCCGACTATTTGCCAAAGGGTACCCACAAAAGGAAGGTGAAGACTTCTTCGACACATATGCACCGGTTACAAGAATCACATCTATAAGGACGTCGATGGCAATAGCGGCTATTCACAGCCTAGACATACATCAAATGGATGTGAAGATCGCTTTGATAAATGGAGATTGTTGACTTTTTGTGGTGAAGCTTGTTTGGAGGTCGAGTAGACACTAAGGTCAAATTTGGGAATCTTGCAACGGAACTCAAAAGAGTCGAATACGGGTATCCATAACCCGCGGTGAAACTCGATAACGTTGATAAATGATTTACTTTCATGTTTTCGTCACTTTCGATGGAAACAGGTCATCGCCATCACCAAAAGGTGTTTGGTATCGAGTTATCTATGCTCTCGGTGCCTTTAAGTATAGAGTATTATCTATATATTTTTGTTGTTTTGGAGTATAAGGGGCCGTTTACCAAATGTTTACTCGGGTAAGTGAACACCAAGTTATTTTACCTTACCGGATGAAAATGGTAAGAATCAATAATCTTACCCGGTAAGAGCGAGACAAGGACCAAAAGTCTTACCCGGTAAGTGAAGGCGACGACTCTTACCACGGTAAGTGCTTGCCGGGTAAATTGTTGCATATGATTAGTGTAATCGTCCCGACTGGGCTGAGGATTCCCCGTAAAACCGGGGATTGAGCAGAGACGGGGACAGAGATTAGGGACTGGGGATGAGGATTAAGGTCTCCGCCTCATTTCTATGCCTAATTACGTGTGATGCTACAATTTTCTTGATATTACTCAACGTATATTGGTTCGTGTCGATGGACATGGACACATGGTATTCCTATAACTGTTGAGTGTTTTTTATATTAAATTAAATTTCTTTTGGTTTTAGGTCTATTGTATGATGTTGTGATTTCGTTTATATGAATATTTAATACTCCATAAAAGCAAAATTTTGGAAACATGTGGGATTTAAACTTAGACCATTTTGGATAAAAGTGTGATGTTTAACAATCTAATTAAGCATTGTGCTTTGATAAAGTAAAATTAAAATGAAAACAGACAAATAAAGCTAACAAACTCAACGAAGAAGTTTTGGGTTGGGTTGGTCAGGTTAGTCGGGTTTTTGTGCACCGCTACTTGTAGGACCGAGCACAAACCTTGAGATCATCAACTTGTGCAACTCTTAAAGTGAGCTTTCACATCGAATTCAACTTCTAATGTTGTATTAGAAGCGAATTAGGTATCTCACCGTTAGAGATTTAGATGGACTTTAATCCCATCCTTATAAGCTGACTTTTTTAATCAAGTCCTTCGTCAAGTGGTCTGCTAATTTTTGTGGGATCGGAAAAATTCCACCGAAATCACCCCATTTGTGAAACGTTTAATGCCACAAATCCCGCTTCCGTAGTCGAACTCGTGATGCAAGTTTGCTTCTTAGAAGCCTATGAAATGGCACATCCCCAAGCCTATGAACTTGGGCCACTCGATCGTTTAAGTCCGCACATCGTGGTTAGAAGGCTTGTGTTCTGCCATTGGTTGTTTTATTTGACTTGATTTTGTCGAGTAAATAATAAATACAATCAAGCTTAATCAGATTTTGTTGCAACGAAAAAGAAAACTTCACCTAGATTTGAGAAATTAAGGGGCCGTTTACCAAACATTTACCTGGTAAGCGCTTACCGGTAAAATTTAACATTATCATTTACTTATCGGGTAAGATTTTAGTCCACCAAAAGGGTATCGTATAATTTATCCGGTAAACTCTTACCATGGTAAGAGTCGTCGCCCTCACTTACTGGGTAAGACTATTGGTCCTTGTCTCGCTCTTACTGGGTAAGATTCTTGATTCTTACCATATTCATCCGATAAAGTAATGTGACTTGGTGTTCACTTACCCAAGTAAGCATTTGGTAAACAAGCCCTGTGAAATGACTTAGATGCTAAAACATCTGAATGATGTGAATGGTGTTAGGAAAATAGTGTATAAGATATCTTTTGGTTTGATTTAAAAAATGAATGTCTTAATGGATGTCATATGAGGTTCTTAGTTGTATGTTGTGGTAGTAACTGTCACAGAAAGAAATATATACACATGTATTGAAGTAGAATTTTAAGAAGTATATTATGGATGAAAATGATTTAATAAAATAAGCAAATGACTAAAATGCCCCTCAACTTAATGAACATATTTATCAGGCGTTAATAAAAAAAAAAGACGATCCACGATGTAATTTGCGAGTCCTATTAAAACCAAGAAATGTAGGCCTGACCTTCTACCTCCACGCAGCATTGCTCCATCAGGCTTTCGCCCATTTCGGAAAATTCGACTCTATTAGATGGTCACAAAAACGAAAATAGCTCGAGTGGTAGATTGATAGAGTTTTGTGCAACTTGCTCTTAAACATATTTAATCATTGAAGAAATCAAGTGCACATTTCTTGTTGAGTTGGTAGATAACCAAAATAGATCCTAATAATCAACAACATCCTGCTGTAGGATTAATCAATCACGGTGCTTGCAAGCTGGTTTAGACACCCACCGTTACCAAAAAAAATGACGAGATAACACCAAGTGCAAAAGTGGTGGTATATCATCTAGTGATGTGGGTTAGAAATCCTATTTTCCCATATTGATTACAACTTCAGAACAAGACCGATTGGACAGTGATCACTCCCTTTAACGTCAGGGAGAATGAAGGAGTCGTGGACATTATCTGCAATCGAATCCGATACGAGGAAGTAATCAAGCCTCCATCCTGTTTAAGATTCACCATACAAAACATAAACACGAAAAATGAATAAATGGTTTTAAGCGTTCGGGCTAAAGGGCTTTGCCACCAAGATCGATAGATCAATAATTTTTTTAATATAGATAATCGTGAATAGTTGGTTCCCCAGGTTTTCAATGAATATGTGATTCTCATTTGAACCCACCCCAATATATATATATATATATATATATATATATATATATATAGACAGAGAGGTGAATTATTATTCAACCATTTACATTTGTACAACCAATACAACTCAATATCAACCGTCCATTTAATTTGATAAATATGTGATTTCATAAAAGTTTTGATTGTTTCCTAATATAAAGTATTGATCATAATTAATGAACTCTAGTCATCTTCCATAAATATTCAAATCATAATAAATGAACTATCATCATTTCCATAAATATCTCAATTGATTGGGTTGCATTGGTTGACAAATGTGATGAGTTGCATTTGAAACGTCATCTCTCTCTCTCTCTCTATATATATATATATATAAATAATAGCATTAAAGATTCTATTATGTGTAGTTAGAAATAAGAAGCAAGTACCTTTATTAGTTTTCCGGCCACCATGTCTGAAACCCCAGTAAGTATAGCCAACAACATTAGGGTGATGTTTCCTGAAGGTATCAACAAAACCCTTGTTCAGGAAATTTTCCTCGAATGACTTTCTTTCCTCGATTGTAAAACCAGCACTTCGCTTATTTCCCTACAGAGAACAATCAAGCAATAACATGATGAGTCCTAACCCAACTCATAAAAATAAGAATGAGTCCCTCTCGATCAACCTAGTTGGCTAGAGAAAGAAATAACGCAAAGCAAAACATCACAACTTCAATTTACGATCATGGCTCTGACGAAAACGAAGATCATATTTGGAACGATAGAAAAAAATGATGCTATTTAATTACATATCTCTATCCCAAAGCATACACATATTGGGTAGTTGAAGATTAGATCTGTAAAAACCGACATTTACAGGTCAAAAACAGTAGAAGGCATTTCTCGCTTGCACTTACCGCAGGATTGAAGATGTCTATTTCTTCATGAGCACAATTCAGATCACCTGTTAAGATGACAGGTTTTGACTTTTCCAGCTCCTGTATGTTGGATGGTATGCGATGGTCAAGACATTATCACAGAGATTTTATCAATGGTATTGTCGTTGCTAATATTGCAGCTTTTTTATAGCAGGAATGTAGCTCTCACAAAAACTAACAAGACAACGAAGTTCGAATACCCTTTTCTGTGTTGAGTAATTGATAAAATAGCATTAAAGAAAAAAGTAATTCTAAAGCAAGACAATGAAGTTATTGGGTAAGGCACAATATGGTAATCAGCATATCTGAAAAAAAATTGCATGCATAGTATAAGGAAAGTTGATGCTGACCAGAAAGATTATCATATTGGAGATACAATTGAAACAAAAAAAAAATCAGATTACAACACTGAGTCAAATTCTTGTCATTTGTGCAAAATTACCTTCACATAATTGCTAAGACTAGGATCCCACTCCGTTATCCTGTATGACTATAAAAAGGCAGGCACATTAGTCATTTACTAGAACGATAACAAATAAGATGTGATGCAGAACAGCTTTTTGTACAAGTTCAAATAAATTACCAGCCTTCTCAAACCATCACCAGAATTAGGAACATATCCACTTATTAGATAAAATGAATCAAATTCTGTTGTCACGAGCCTCCCTTCACTATCATGGTCTGATATGCCAAGTCCATATCTGACAGAAAGTGGTGGTATCTGTCAAGCAAGCCATCATTTAGGCACCAGATGACAAAATATCACGAGATGCAACAGAAAGATAGTTGATCATCACCGAATAATATGTATGTATTCTTCAGTAGCACAAAGAGAGTCCATGATAATATTATGATATACAATAGTGTATCTCATGAAAGGTGTATGGTAACACTACCCGCTCAAGGCATTATGCTTGGGTAATTGGGTTTCAGGTTGTTTTAAGTTGGCATTTTTTTACAGTTAGAAGTAAAATGAAATCACAAGGTAAATAACTGATCATGGTAAATTACACTAAACTCTTTTCTGGAAGGACATAACATTAATGAGTTTGTAATGTTCAACCTTCCACCTTATTAAGATTGATAAGGTAAACCGTCACAACTTTATTATTCGGTTATTATCAGTTGTAGCTTGGAAATATCATCAGGAAAGCTATCGTTTAGGTGCCACAATGACAAACTATCAAGATGATACATGCAACGGAAAGCTATTTGGTCATCAACGAAAAATATGTATGAAATAATTCTTTAGTAACCTATTTAAAATAACGAGAAGCCACATGATGATATTATGATATACAATATTACTTCCTATAGAAGGTGTTTAGTAGCAGTACAAGCTCAATGCATTGATGCATCTTGTTTGGGTTCTGGGTCCTACTTAAATTAGCATTCTATTAGTTAGACATAAAAATAAATCACACAAGGTAAGTAATTGATCATGGTAAATTGTAAACTCAGAATGAGCTTGCAAGGATAAAGCTCGCACCATTCTATGATTCATAAACTAAACCATCAAAATTTTAATATTTGGTTAATTAATTGCTGTAGATTGAAAAGGACACCGATATCATTCATCAGATCGTTCTCATATAGAACAGATATGTGCATCATATCTCCTTGAAACAATCTTACAATAATAATATTTAATGTTTCTCAGAGACCTTGACAAACAAGAAAAAAGGTGGAAGGGTCAGCAACGCTCAAAGAAAATATACCAAAAAAACAACATTTTAGAATAAAAACATGGCTTACAGATCAGTACATATACATTTTACTCAAGCATTTACATTATTACAGAGTGTGTTACAAAGAGGAAGGGGCATACCCTAGAGATAATTGCAGTACCAGAGTACCCAAGCTTAGAGACGCTACAAGTCCAGAAGCTATTGTCATATCCTTCTAGAAGAACTTGTTTGATTGCCTCTACATCTTTTTCCTGCTTCCATAAAAAGACATGCAATTAGCCAAAATGATACTATGTCGGAAGGCAAGAACATAGGAAATCTACACACAATAGCTACTCATTATTTAAACTTGGTCAAAATCTATGCGTCCAAGCAAGTTAGAAAAATAACTCTCACTTTGTCAGCTTACATAGCATAATAGTATAAACGAACTACAACTTACAATACAAGTCTAATGACACATGCAACTAAGCCTAGTTATTGAACTTGAGTCAGTTAACACAACTTGCTCAAGAGATAAAAATCTATGTGCACTTGCAACGATAATATTGTTTTCGACTTATTTGGGGTTTTATGTTTTCAGTCATTGGTCTATCTTCAAACCTAGGAAGCATGGGCTGGCCTTCTTTTCGTTTTCGCACTATTACAAATATGAAAATAATGGGAAAAATCAGATTCAGTTGTCAACTGTCCCTATCGGAAATAGGATATATAATATTATTTCCAAAGCCACAGGATACGACTGATTAACTGATGTTTCCAAATTTAATGTTGGTTCACTAGAACCATATAAACCGACACCTAGAACTCCATTAAGAGAAAAATGTAATGGAAAGTGTTACACAGATACCAAATTGGGTATCGTAGTGCTTGCGAGATGGACTCTTTCATTGGAGGGTGCTATTTCACCCATTGGTCTTTTATGTTTTCAGTCATTGGTCTATCTTCAAACCTAGGAAGCATGGGTGCCCCTATCCTTTAGCTGTATCCCTGTTTCCAATGGTGCTTCAGGGAAGTGCATGGGATGGGGCGTTAAATGTACCCCCAAATTGTTGATAACAAATACAAAGCATTAGAGGATTAGATATGACAGGGAATTTTAATCTAGTCTGAAAAAAAAAATCACAAATTATAATATTAGAAATCAAGGACAGAAGTCTACACTAAATTTTTTCCCACACATACAACAGAAAGAAGAGGTAACGCAAGGATTCATTTTCTTGAACGAATTAGGCTAATACAGGCACACTAAGTAAAAAAAATAAAAGCAAGATCGGATGCAAGTTCAATTATGTATTTGTTTTACATGTTCAATGTACGAACCATGGGATACTTCTGTTCTTTTGTTGGTTGTGGTCTTAGACTTCTAGACAAATAGATAACACACACATACATACATACATATATATATACATACATATATATATATATACACACATATATGAATGCTCCCATGCATGGTCACATATTTTGGCATGGTACAACAGCTGGCGCTCAAGGTTGAGTCATCATTCTAGGGTTTCTGTGAAGATCGACCTTTGATTTCTTTCCTTGTTTTGGTTTCTCCATGTTGCTGCTGGTTTAATTGATCAGTTAGTCCAATTGACGATTGAAAATCCTCAGGAGCTTCATTCAATTTACCAATTGTAGATCTTCTAGAGCTCTGACAGTGTCTTCTCACTGGTATATTAGCTATTTGTGGTTGTCACAAAGGTTAAAACAAAAGGTGCCAGTTGCAGTGGTACTTCAGATTTGAAGATGCAATTGTTGAATGGTTAAGTTCTAATTACATTGAATTTAATTGGACCATGTAACCAACATTCGTGCCTCCCAAGCCCTCACTTAAAGAGAACATCCCAGTCTGGTCATTTCAACCTCAAACACCTACACAAACATTATACTGTGTACAAGTGTGGCACAATTATCCATTCCACCCATTATGATCTGTTTTTACAACTTCTATCAAAATCTAGAGCAAGGAGGTTGATTTAAAAGAGGGTTTGGAATGGGACTTATCAATGGATCAGACCAGATTTGATGGATCAAACAGGGTATATGTTACGAGTGACAAATCTTGCCTTAGATGCTACTACAATCATAAATATGGCCATAAGATACTTGATCCACAAAAGGTCTCTATGTTGGGTAGTCTAGGTTAACAAAGGGGTACCAGTGTCGTATCATACTCTTAGGAAATATTTTACTTTTGATGATACTACTTCTGTAGAGTTCTCTCTTCTTCTGCATCTACACTAATAGGGTTGAGCCTCCAAGCCCTAGAATATATACTCAGTTTCTAGGTCAAAGCTAAGAGTGTTGTTCCTTTTGACGCAACTATTATGAGTGCACTTTCTCTTCAGGTTTATGATCAGAGGAATAGACAAACAGATGGGAGACCCTTGCAATTTTGTACTTGTTCACGACTTCGTCAAAGAATGTGGGATGTGTATGATAGAAACCAAGTAATTATTTGTGCAGGACTTTATTTGTTTGACTTCATATGTATTAGACATATTTACATATGCACTATATTAAGTTCTTTACTTCTTTATAGATATAAATATTTGTGTTTATTATATGAACCTGATTCTTTTACCACTTTACCAACGCAATAACCGCTATATCAGATGACGGTCCTGACCTCAATTTCAAAATATGACCTAGCTGGACGTAGCACTTAACTTGATATGGTGGACCCAAAATTGAGCACAGATCGGAATAATATTGCATGCTATATGTCATTTAAACCAACCTAAGAAGTACACTTACCTGTTTCAATCTAATGGAAAAGACTGTGATATTTCATACTTAGTCCAGAAACATCATTCAATTTCCCACATAACATTAATGTCTAGTCAGGTCTATGTAAGAAACATCCAACCTTCATAAAGAACCACGCTAATTGGCAAGGAAAAAGCCTTCCCCGATTTTCATATATACAATCTGAGCATAACACTCATGGACTTCAGAACCAGTTTCAACAATGAAAATCATTCTTCTGTTATATCAACAAATTGTTTCTAGTATTAATGATATTAACAATGCATATCAACCACACTCCTAGAACAGCTACATGCAGCAGTATCTAAGAAATGATGGACATCAAGGGGGAAGACTTGCCTGCAATTTCGTTTCTTGCAAGCAAAGTACATCAAAATCTTCTCTTTGTGCAAGTTGCAGTGCGGAAAAGGTCTCTAACTTTAGTAAAGCCCGCAAACCGTTGACATTCCAAGACATTAGCTTCACATGTTTTACATCACTACCAAGAGCAGGAGGCCTCATAGTTCGAGGATTGTAAGGTATCCATTCTTTTTGGGGCTTCTTGTGAGCAAGAATAGTCCATGGTTCAGCTTGATGTTCAGAAATATCCACCTTATTACAAGTTTCAATATCTTCAGACACGATTTCTGATGCTATGCAGGTAGGATTTTTACCTGAAAACATTCTCCATGTAAAATCAATATAAGTTATCGATGATGTTTCGTTTCATTTTTACTTTCATAATTTTTTTTGTAATGTATATTTCTGAACGAGAATATAGATTTATGTTTTATTTTTATTATTATTTAATATTCAATAATAACTTAAAAATAAAACAAATAACAATATATCAACAGAATGTTAATATTATAGTTGCTCTAGGAAAACAAAATAGGAAGAGGGAGAAAACTCTTTCTTGGCATTACTTTTAACTTTGGAAGTTGTACTAGCAACCTTTGCCTGTGTATGCCCAGAAGTCTTCACAGTAATGTTTATATCCGCTGGGGTTTGTTTTGTTCGTCTCTTGATCCCTTTATCTACAGAAAATGTGATCATATCCTCAGCACGATCTTCAACAGACAAGCTCTTTGCCTTCCTTTTGGAACTTTTTTCATCTTGAACTTGATTCACTTGGGTGGACTTTTCATCTTCAACAACCTCTTGAGAATCTTTATATACAAATACAAAGTATTAACAAGCAGATGAATAGAATATACCCTTATCAACTGGAAGATGGAAAAAAGAATGTAACAAGTAGTAATGATGCAATAATGATAAAAATAGCAATAGTCATTCAACATCAAAAAACTACATTTTATAGCTCAAATTGTTTGGAGTATATTCAATTATGTATAACTACAGGATTCAGTTTATGACTAGCAGATAACAGTACCGTCAACTTCAGCAAAGAATTTCTTCAAGGCACATATGAGATCACGTTTAGAACCTTTTGTTGGGACCCCCATGCTCCTACAATTCAAAAACCACAATAAGGATATTTAGCATCATAAGAATTGATGTTTCTTCCCCTAAGACTCATCTCAACAAGCTAAAGGAAAAAAAATCAAGAATCAATTTAGAGGCAGTTTACTAAAAGCATATAATCCATCTCTCTCCTCTAGCCTACAGAACAAATAAGATGCCTCACCCTGTGGTTTATGATATAACATATAATATGCAAAAACCACATGACGTGTCCGATCTTGCTATGATTAAATTTCCCTCGCACATTATAGGAATTAGATGCATTTAGTATCTATCAAATCTTCCCAACCATACAAACATACAAAAAAAGGTAGACAAACATAGAGATAGAGTTGTGCACAATTATTATGGACAACAATGCCATAAGAAGATAAAACTACGTGCTATTCTGCCATCCACAAGAAGAACTAGAACAGAAGTTACCCCAGTGCTCAGAATATCCAAAATGGAATAGTAGATAACAACCTCAACTTTCCGTAATTCAAATTCAAAATATAATGAAAAGAAGTCATCAATACAAGTAATTAGCCAAGTGAAATGCTGATCCCTTTACAAACTAAAATTATACATCACAAAAGGCCTTCAACAATACACCCTTTTCTTATTTATGGTCTTGCTCTATTTTCTCACAGCAACCCGAATAAGATGATACTGTCATTGGTTTACATGTAAAAAGGTGACTCCCAATGAATCAAGTGAAGGCCTTCTTTTCCCTCAAAGGAAACGAGAAATGTGTTATAGTCCAAGCATTAATCTTAATGGGTTGATCTCATACCTGCAGCAATCAAAATAATGAGTTTTTAATGGAAATACAACTTGGCAAAACATAGATGTAGCTACCTCAATTTTGTTTTAAGCTCTTGAACTGTCATTCTCTCAAAGGTATCCGGATTGGTGTTGGCACTTAAAATTTCAGCGGTTTTACCTTTCGCTGTAGTTTCCTGCAATATAATCATATCTAAAAACGGTAATGAAAGCGACAATGACAATTACACTATATCCAAATTAAAGACACGCTTAGAAAATGTAAAAGAATGTGAAGTGCAACTTACATAACTAATTTGATGAGTACACATAAAAGGTTACGATACAAAAGTCTTCACAGTTTTATAGGATTCAACCATGTGGGTCCGGCGCATGATATTCTCTTCTTCCCATCATGGTAAAAATCATGACCCATACTATACTTGTCATGTAGGTTGAACCCTTTCACATTTTCAAATCAACTTTTTCAATTTGCAATGCTTCTTATATATTTATAAAGTGGTTATCAGATGGCTACCAGCATATAAACAAATTCATATCAATATTGATATAACAATATTACATGCTCACTCTCCAAGAGGTAGATGTACCTTTCCTTTGAATTGAACCGAGGGAGTAATACAACCAACTACTTCAGCACTTTAAAATCTTAGTGAAATTTCAAAGGGCGGATGAAGAGATTCCATGTAGAATAATCAAACTAGTTTCCATATAGGATGTAATATAAGAAACAATAGTTCTCTTTACCATACAAAGGTAGGAATCTGCCTTTCAGTGTTGTTAAAGACTCTTCTAGAAGGCACAGCAACAAGGAGTTATGGCCACCAATACTGAGTCTTGTTAGTTTATGTATGAAAGTGATTTGTATTCACTGAAAATAGAATTTGAATAAATATTATTTAATTTTTTTTTTTTTGTAAAAGGTTTCCACACCTTTCAGTGTTTTGAAAGGATTAACTAACATGTATGGCTAAACACTAAACGGGACTTTCTATATGAAGCAAAAGAAATTGGCAAAGCTTACCTAATTAAGGGACACAGACTAAAAATGTTGCTCCCTCACTCCCATGACTATTTACAACACTTGCCTTTGTGGATATGCACGAAAAATTGCTAACATTTTTTGGTAATTTCATAAGCAGCCCAACAAAGCAAAAAAGTACAAGCTCATAAATCTAGTACAAGCTATGATGAATCAATGACCTCTGGCTGGGCGATTGAAGGTACGCTCAAGTTTGAAGTTGAAGAGAGCCCTTGACACCCCATTCCTCTAGGATTCCCACAAAGAAAAGCCCCTGTTCTCGAGCTCTTGGGTATTACTGCAATCCTATACCCAAAAAAAGGAACAAAAGAACATGACCCAACAAAAAGAATTCATCAGTCATTTCACCATTGATAAGACATATAAAGGACAACAGTTACAAATAATTATGGATATATGTAAAAAAAAGTCCACACTACAAATGTTGGACATAAATCTTTGATTACGGAAAGTAAAACAGTTTAGTTTGGTGAAGCAGAATGCAAACTTGAGAAGTGATACCTTTTGGGAATAAAGAAATTTCGAAACCCTAAAATCGACGTATGTTTCATGAGATTGAAAGAAATGCGTACGTAGAAGATGAGGAGGCGAAGGCGGTGAGTTGTTTGTTAATGGTGATAGAGGTGAACGCTGTTCATGATGGTATGAAGTAATCAGAATCAGAAAGTCGGTTGTAGATTCATATTCGTGCAGCAGAGCCAGAAACAACTTGTTGACAATGGCTGACTCCAATACGCAGGTGATCTTCGACCTATCGCTGTTTAACCTTTTCTGTTTTTTTTTTCTTTTTTCTTATAACTAGGGTTAAGGGGGTGTTTGGGATTGCTTATTTAAAACTACTTATGCTTTTTTGTAAAAGTGCTTATTAACTTATGAGGTATCAAACTGGAGTTTTGTAAAAAGTGTTTGGATTAGCTTATAGCGGTACAAAAAAGCAAAATGACCAAAACACCCCGGTTCATTTGAGGTTATGTACCAGTTGAGGGTTAGAAAAGAAATCAAGCCGTCTCCTCTCCGTGCGTTCCCTTTCTCGTCGCCTCCTTCTCGTCGTCGGCTCTGAACCCTAAACCAGGTCGCCGGCGATTAAAGCATCACCAGGTCGCCGGCCTCGCCTCGTCGCCTCCTTCTCGTCGTCGGCTCTAAACCCTAAACCANCAGGTCGCCGGCCTCGCCTCGTCGCCTCCTTCTCGTCGTCGGCTCTAAACCCTAAACCAGGTCGCCGGCGATTAAAGCATCACCAGGTCGCCGGCGATTAAAGCATCACCAGGTCGCCGGCGATTAAAGGTTCTTAACCAGCAAGATCGGATGCGATAGCCGTCAACGATGCGAACGAAACCAGCAAGAACGTCGTCTGTGGAAGTCTTGCCGGCAACGATGATGAGATGGATGCGATGAGAAACCAGGGTTAAWAGGGTAATCTGTCAAATAAGTCAAGAGGGTTTAACTTATCAAAAACGACTTATTACCGGTTTGGTACCGGTATAAGCACTTTTTTTATTTTTTATCCAAACACTCCAAAATGACTTATTACCGGTTTGGCACCGGTATAAGTCAATAAGTCCGTTTGAAACGCTTTCCCAAACACCCCCTAAATGCATGAATAACAACCTATTTTCGTAAAAATTCTTATTATAATATTTTTTTTTATTGAATCTCATGGAGAGTTCGATCCTGGCTCAGGATGAATGCTGGTTGGCATGCTTAACATATGTAAATCGGACGGAAAGTGGTGTTTCGTGGCGGACGGGTGAGTAACGCGTAAGAACCTGCCTTTGGGAGGGGAACAACAGCTGGAAACGGCTGCTAATACCCCGTAGGCTGAGGAGCAAAAGGAGGAATCCGTCTGAGGAGGGGCTCGCATCTGATTAGCTAGTTGGTGAGGTAATAGCTTACCAAGGCGATGATCATTAGCTGGTCCGAGAGGATGATCAACCACACTGGGACTGAGACACGGCCCAGACTCCTACGGGACGGGAGGCAGCAGTGGGGAATTTTCCGCAATGGGCGTTAGCAATGTACTTTCATATTATTTTTTTATTAAGGCATTGTACTTTAAAAAATCTATTCATAATAACAATGGGTAATCTGTTACCTTTTAAACCGGTTAACCCTTTGACTTTTTTGYTTGTGTGGCTTTAATGAGGTGATGTGGATGACACATCATTTTGATGACTTAACTAAAATTAAAATAAAAACCTATTTCAAATTATTATTAGTGATTTTCATTTTTCATTGCTATTATCTAAAAAATATTTAATTTTTTTTTACTTTTTCTTATTAAGTTGCATTCAAATTAAATATTCTTAGAGTAAAATATTTATTAAATAGATATGAAACATTATTTTCGAGATATATTTTGTTTGTAAAAAAGACAATTTTTCCTATTTTATGTTGTTCAAATAAATATATATCTTTTAAAGTTCTCTTTAAAATATTAACGAAATAAATTGTTATCTACAAATTTTTAATATTGTTATATTAATAAATAATTCAAAAAAATCTAATTAATTTAACATATTTATACGTCAAGTAAAAAGTTTTTGAACAAATATAATGTATTTTTTAAAAGATAATATTTTTTGGTAAAAAAAGAACAATTCTTATTTTCCTTTTTTTGAAAAACACAAAAAAAATTTATAAAAATATTAGCGAGATAAGTTGTGTTATACTAGTTTTATTGATATTGGTATATTAATGAATAGTTTATAATTTTTTTTAATTCATTTAATACATTTATTAAATAACATGTAACATATCTAAATATTAGAATTAAAAATATAATATTTAATAAGAACTAGTAAATGTTATAATAAAATAATTTTGAAAGTACAATGATGTAGTAAGAAAGTCATATTACTATAATACATGTGAACATCTGATGTGGACAATGAGGTGGCATGAAAACCTAGTATAATGGATAAATTTAAATCAAAAGGTTACCCAATGCTATAATGGGTAAATTTTTTAAAGTACAATGTTCTAATAAAAAATATTTTGAAAGTTCATTGTTGTAATAAGAAAAAATGAAAGTACAATACTATAATAAAAAAAATTATGAAAGTAGATTGTTATTTTATGCATTTTACCCTATTAATTAAGTTTAGCTTATTGAAATGTTAACTCATGTGGTATCAAACCGGAGTTTTGTAAAAAGTGTTTGGATTAGCTTATAGCGGTACCAAAAAGGTAATAAGCTAATAAGTTATTTTTTTAGTGTTTGACAAATTTTGCTTATATATGTAAAATGACAAAAAATGACAGTCTTCCATATTATTGACTCATGAGAGTGTTTGTGATTGCTTATTAACTTATTTGATTTTTTAACATGTAAAAAATTATTTTTCATCATTTATAATAATATCTTTGACAAAATATTATATCAATAAGATTAATAATTAAAAAACATTAATAAAACAAGGTTAAAATGGTAAACTGGTAATAAGCAGTTTTTCATAAGTCATGAAGGATTAACTTATCAAAAACCGTTTATTACCGATTTGACACCGGTATAAGCAGTTTTATTTTTCCTCATCCAAACACTAGCATTTAACTTATCACCGTGCCAGACTGAAATAAGTCAAAAAAAAAACACCTAAAATAAGTAATCTCAAACACCTTATTGTCATTTATTTCAATTATAACCTTCTTTGATTGACATGTGTCTAGGAAAAGTCCATTTTTAACTTTACTTGCTGACATCTCTCTAAAAATCATTGCAGCTCTCTAAACCCTAGGGTTTTGCCGGTTACTTTTAAAAAAAACCATTTCTTGTAAATTTGATATAAGAATTTATTGGGTTGTCATTTCATAATAAAATAGAGATTCTAGTTTCTGCGAGTTCTGCATTCACAATAAAGTTGAGATTCTACTCTTTAGTAAAATTGTAAAGATTCTTCTGCATTGGGTTGTCATTTCAAAACAAAGTAGAGATTCTAAGGTTTTTGATATTTACGGTAATTAGGTCGACTTTGTTGGTTGGGTATTTATTTGTTGGTGATACACCTCGTTTTCAAAACCACTAGTATATTGACGTTTAGATTCCCCAACGATACAACCTATTTCCCTAGAACGGCTTCCTCTGATTCAAACCTTGACGGTTCTCAGATAATGCCTAAGCGTATGAGAAAATCGATCGAGGAGACTAAAGCTGAGATAAAGTCAATGTATGCGCATAGAAAGTATTACGGGAGATTGATGAGAAACAAGGATCAATAAGAGACTTGTAGAAACAAAGCGGGGAGGCAAAGCATAAACAACGCAAAATTGAATCTTGAAGCTCCGTCATGGTTTTGAGCCATGATCATCATTCAGTACTAGAGAGAATCAGGCATATGATTGACAATCTTGTTGAGAACAACAATCTAGTGACCGCATGGTTTATTCAGTTTAGACTATGGGATGCATAGTTCTTCTTTTGTGGTTTTTACCGGTAAGTTGTTCTTGCTCATTTTGAACTCTTTGGCTGAGCAATGTTCTGTGCAACTCCTATTGCTGCCACTTTTGCAGGAAAACAGTGTAGAACGAGATGACATAAATGATCCTTTTAGTGAGGTATAGAATTCTTCAACTAAAAAGACGTATTCTTTAGTAAGTTCCATTTATATTGTTGCTAGAATATTGGTAACATAACCAATATTAGTAAACAGATCACTTGCAAAGCTATAATCATCATTGTTGCTAAAATATGATGTCAAAACTAGCCTTGTTAACCAACGATAAAGAGCCACCACTGCGAATGCCATAGACATCGGTTGTACTCAACTCAGTGAGGCAGTTGCCTCAACAATAGTCTTAGAAGATGGTCAAGGTGGTGGTGAGGGATCAAACATCAAATCGTAGAGATTTAACCAACATAGAGAAATGTGTAGATTTGGGCATTGTTGATAATCGTAGACTTCAATAAATAGCTCTTATAGGCGAACTTCAAGCATGTTTGAAAATGATGAACAAACAGGCAATCGTGAATTCGTATCTAAAATGGGAAAACACCTATTCTTGTAATTTTTCTGTAAAGTATACCTGATGTTTATTGTCCATAAATTTAACAAGATCAGAAAACTAATAGTCATAAGGTGATATTTGTAATCAAGATTCAGGACCTGTTTTTGTGTTACTTTTAGGGGGTTGAAAGGATGGCATGTTGTAGAAACTAAAAGTTATGTTTCTGCAGGTCTCAATGTTCAAGAAGAATTATGACCATCTTCCCAAGGACACATACTTTGGCAATTACAAAGAATCAACTCGTGGTAATCCTAACTACTTTTTGACATATGGAAATGGGAAGTCTGTTGCTCGTATCCAACATAATTTGCGTTCTAACGGTGCACATAGATGGCTGAAGAATCCAAAGTATGTTAACCTTTCTTTTACCCGCTTCGAATTCGTAAATCCAAACACATGGTGTTATTTTTGCACACTTAGTTGCTTCAGAGGCGCACACACGGTTTAAGAAAATTCTCGACTACAAAGTACAAACCAAATGTCTTAAATATCCTTGAGCATACATTAACGGTTAACCTCCATGGTGGTTGTGTAAGGTGTGGCGTGCGCCATGGCATCAGGAGGTGTATTATGGTGCATGTTTTTTGAACGGAGTACTATTCGACTTTTTTTAATTTTTCATAAAGGTTTGCCTTAACTCTACGTTGTTATGAGCTTTCGATACAAATTCCTTTTGTAAGCTCTATATATATGATATTAAATTTCATTTTTCAACCACAAGGGTGGTGTCTGATTGGTTTGAGCTTGGGCTCCAAAGGTCAAAAGTGTTGGGAGGTCCCAAGTTCAAATCCAATGAGAAATAAAAATCCTCTTGTGGCCACAGAGGTTCAAATGCGGTGACTCCGGGCTACCCGCAAAGCAGGTGATGGTCACCCTCGGATTAGTCGGCTCGCATAACGGGTTGGATATCCAGGTTAATAAAAAAAGTTCAATTTTCTTCTATTTAAACATCAAAATATTAACATGCTAACTTATGTGAACCTCCACTAACGAAGTGCTTCCTATGCTTCTCACGAGATTTTGCTTTTCTACCAAAACCCAACTCTATGCATATATCTGAGTGATGCTAATTTTAGCAGCCTTGAATTTATATATGATTATCTACAAAATTTAGCCCTCCCATGAAAATTGCAATTTTTTTGACTTAAGGGGCTGTTTGGTTGGTTTTTCATTAAGTCTGTATGGATAAAGTTGTCTTTGTGTATTAATATGTTTGTATAGAATGAAAATGTTTTTGTTTAGGAGAGGTTTTTCATAGATCGAAGGAACATGTCTTTTAATTGGGAGGGGCAGATTTGGAAAAAACTTGGCTTTATGTATAAAGCTCTCCCTAGAAGCTTAATGGATAAGCTACTATCAAACAATCATGTATAGCCGACCAAATACGTTGTGAGTCCTATCAAGTTCATTAAGCTGCTAACAAACAGGCTCTATATGTCTGATGATAAAATATCTGTTAATTAAAGCATATTAAAGAAATACGGTTGTCATACCATCAATGTATTTGTAGTGATGATAACGAGCAATCAAGGATGGAGGGTTCGTCTTTTACGCTTGTGTTAAGAAAATGTGATTACGTTTTTAAGTTAGCTCTTATTGGCCTACAAAAAAAAACTGTTTATTTCTGTTGATCAATTTCCAGTGATATTTTGTTTTTTTCTTCTTGGAGTATAAACTTTAAGAGACAACTTGTCATACTGTAAATGGCAACCCTGACAGGTCCGACATGGAACCCGCCCCCTAGAACCACATGTGACTGTGAGAAGGAATTTCAGAGCTGACTCAACGACTAAGGCTAGCAGAGCGGTTAAAGTCCATCTCCCGTAGGATTCAAACTTGAATCTGTTGTGTATTTGAGCAAAGTCGCTCCACCCCTTTTCACACGCCGGAGGAAATAGCCACTTTTTAAATAAAATAAAATCATGGGTGTCTAGACTAGCTTACGATGCACCTTGACTAATCCCATGGGGCCCTGAGGGTAATAGCCAGGAAAAATTCTTCCCATTTTTTATTAGATAAGGTGAACGTATTCATTACCAGATCATAAATATTTCCTGTTTTATCTCTCTTAAGTAGACCCATCTGAAGTACTTTCCTTTTAAATAATCGTACTGGCTTTTCAATTGTTTTTGGGTTAGTTTCACATGGCACACTTCGTCAAGCTTTGTTGCCAACTTTGCCCAAGTTCCTTTTCCAAGACTACCCCCATTTCGACCCACTCTACTGACCTCTTCTATACAAGTCTCTAAAAAGCATCTGATAATCTCATTTGTCCACCTTTACAATTGCATTCTCGTCCATCACTAATTAGCACACAAGTAATTGCAAATAAAAAGCGCATATTTTCCATAGTTGTAGCCACATGTGACATCGAAAGATCAAACGGATTGACAGGCTCTCGCTATGAGATAAATCGACCGGTAGCGAAGAATTTACTTTCTGAAAGTCAAAAACTTATAAGTTGATCGACGATGTTATTGTAAGATGTTTCTGGTAATTTGGTTAATATCTAGTTCGTAGAACGTTTCCTAGGATGTTTGATAGATGATTGCATCGAGTTCCATTACGATATACAAGTCCTAAAATCAAACTACATAAGATACAACACATGATCAGAACATAACGTAGAATTCTACTGAAACAATAACCATCTTGCAACTTAGGGGTCGTTTACCTAAATGCTTACCCGGTAAGTGCTTAACATTAGGAGTCAACACTATAACTTATTTTATTGGGTAAGATTGTAGTACATCAAAACGTATCATATGCAACAATTTACCTGGTAAGCGCTTACCCGGGTAAGAGTTGTCACCCTCACTTACCGGGTAAGACTCTCCATCCTTGTCATCGCTCTTACCATGTAAGATTCTTGGCCCTTGCCATGTTCATCCGGTGAGGAAAATTACCTGATAAGTACTTACCAGGTAAGTGTTTAGTAAACGGCCCCTTAATCTTTTGTGTTGATGAAATGTTTCGATACATAACATGACTATTTGAAAGCAATACCCAAGAGTTATAGTTGACTCCATATATACAAAGGTGTGACATTTAGCCATTTTCCCTAAACAGTAGAGTAGCTGTTTTCATGAATACCACACCACAGTAGAGTAGTTTTCATGAATACCGCACCAACTTATACGATGGTGTGAGTAAACCAGTAAAAGAAACAAACGGTACCACATAATGAACATAAATACAAAAAAGTAATGAGTGGGAAAATAAAATCGGATATACTCATCAAAACACAATTTCGACAATAAGATATTACTCTGTAGATATGAGAAATCGACCTTGGCGGAATACGCCAAATGCATCAATATGATTCCTGTTCTACCTTTGTGAATCTAACCTACGTAAAATCTACGCCTAAAATGTACATCACGCTTGGTTAAAGATCGGGAACATTCACACTAAACACGACACCCAACAATCATTCACATATCATGATCATCATCCGCGGATGGAGGAGGGAGTGGTGGCACTGCCAATAAAACTACGTCTGCTACTTCTAGAACCTTCCTACTCATCATTTCAGATTCTTCCGTCTTCTTCGAAAGGGTATCTAACCCTTCAATGGCTTTAGAGGAAGTATTACTGTCCTTAATGGATGACAAAAGCGATGGGCTTCTTTGTGTGGACGCTATTAAAGAACTGAAGGTGCCCGCTTCTCTCAGTTCTTGCATGATCACCTATTCAAGTCGTAGATATATGAACGTAAAAAACTGTAAAAATGGGTATAAAGGGGGGATACACGAAAGAAAAAAAGGCGATGCGATCATACTTACCATAGGAGTGTATATGCGAGCTAAAATTCCCTTCCTCATTAATTTCATATTTAGAGCTTTATCGGTCCATACAACATGTTCGCGATACCTGTAGAAAAGCGTCAATAACCGCTAAGAGTCTCTCCAACAGATTCTATGAAATAGAGAAAATGAAGATTTTGGAGATCTTTTTGGCTCCAACAGATTCTTTAAAAGTTTCCCTGAAATCGAAAAAACAGGAGAGAGAAGCTAAAAATCTCCAAATTTGGAGAATTCTCTAAAGCTGAATGCAGGGGAAAAAAGAAATTGTTTTCTTATTGTTCCCACAAATCAAGTTGAATAAATTTTCATTTACGTATAATTTTTATTTGAAAATTTATTGGGATATGAATTATTGATTATTATAATATCATAATTAAAGTTAACGTCTCCAAAATAGAGAATTTGTTGGAGTTGAATGTAATTTTTTCAGATATTTTAGTTTTTGATTCTTCATTTTGAAGAAGTTATAGAGAATCTGTTGCAAATGCTCTGAAGTCATTGCTTTATAAGCGGGAAGGCAATGGATCCTTTTCATGGAACCGTCTTTTTTTTTTTGCAGAGTATAAAAGAAAAAGACTACATACAACGGGTTCCCACCTAAATTGGCTGTTTGCAAGTTTGAATTACCTTCAGGGCCCCATGGGATTAGTCAAGGTGCGTCGTAAGCTGGTCTAGACACCCATGATTTTATTTTATTTAAAAAGTGGCTATTTCCTCGGACGTGTGCAAAGGGGCGAAGCGACTTTGCTCAAATACACAACAGATTCAAGTTCGAATCCTGCGGGAGACGGACTTTAACCACTCCGCTAGCCTTAGCTGCTGAGTCAGCTCTGAAATGCCTCATCACAGTCACATGTGGTTCCTAGGGGGCGGGTTCTGTGTCAGGGCCGGTAATCAATCTTTTTACTCAAATCCCTGTTAGGATTATGAAAAAGAAGATGCAATCTTACCAGCTTAGCATCTCTTCCTCTGTAGCAGTTGAAGCAATTATAAAAGCCTGCAGGACAATTAGTAGATAAACCAAGATCATTAACAGGATGACATGCTGTCTCAAATTAATAACTAAAGTTTATATTCCAAGAAGAAATAAACAAAATGTGACTGTTGATTGATATCACTGGAAATTGATCAACAAAAATAAACAGTTTTTTTGTAGGCCAATAAGAGCCAACATAAAAATGCAATCACATTTTCTTAAACAAGCGTAAAAGACGAACCCTCCATCCTTAATTGCACGTTATCATCACTACAAATTCATTGATGGTATGACAACCGTATTCTTTAATATGCCTTAATTAACAGATATTTTATCATCAGATGTATAGGGCCTGTTTGTTGCAGCTTAATGAACTTGATGGGACTCGCAACTTATTTGGTCGGCTATACATGACTGTTTGATAGTAGCTTATCCGGTAAGCTTCTAGGGGGAGCTTTATACATAAAGCCAAGTTTTTTCCAAATCTGCCCCTCCCAATTAAAAGACACGTTTCTTCCATCTATGAAAAACCTCTCCTAAACAAAAACCTTCCCATTCTATACGAACATATTAATACACACAGACAACTTTATCTATACAGACTTAATGAAAAACCAACCAAACAACCCCTTAAGTAAAAAAAATTGCAATTCTCATGGGAGGGCTAAATTTTGTAGATAATCATATATAAAATCAAGGCTACCAAATTTTGTGGATAATTCAAGGCTACTAAAATTAGCATCACTCAGATATATGCATAGAATTGGGTTCGGTAGAAAATCAAAATCTTGTGAGAAGCATAGGAAGCACTTCGTTAGTGGAGGTTCACATAAGTTAGCATACGTTATTTTAACTTATGTTAACATTTTGATGTTTAACTTATGTTTAACATTTCCATGTTAGGATATGTTAATGTCCATCTTAATGTAGCATCATCATGAAGGAGAAGCATCAATACTCACAGCTCTGTCGAATTCTAACATAAAGCATCTTTTAACATCATCTTTTGTAGGTTTGCAGCCACATCGGTCACGCCTTGATGTCAAATCTGAAAACTTGGTGTAGGTGTAATGCAGAACAGCAGCCTCCTCCAGTTTGATCTCACTAAAGACAAAAATACAAGTTACTAAAGATAGACTGCCAAGATTTGCAAACTGATTGAAATTCAGACAAAAATAAAAATAATAATAATAATGAAGCCTTCCTCTATCGGTGAAATCATAATAACGATTGCAAAATTTCCTTTTCGGTGTGTTTCCAATCTACAACTACTTGCTTAGGAGACATGTCGTTCTTGGCTTAAGACGGCAAGTCAATATATCATGTATATAGTTATTAATATGCACATATGTTTTTCAATTATTACTCAATAATGTTGAACAATTTAATTTCATATAAATAGAAGAAAAATGAAATTTGATATCATATATATAGAACTTACAAAAGGTGTTTATATCGAAAGCTCATAACGTAAAGTTAAGGCAAACCTTTATGAAAAATTAAAAAAGTCAAATAGTGCGTTCAAAAAACATGCACCATAATACCCCTCCAGATGCCATGGCGCACGCCATCCCTTACACAACCACCATGGAGGTTAACGTATGCTCAAGGATATTTAAGACATTTGGTTTGTACTGTGTAGTCAAGAATTTTCTTAAACCGTGTGTGCGCCTCTAAAGCAACTAAGTATGCAAAAATAACACCATGTGTTTGGATATACGAATTCAAAGTAGGTAAAAGAAAGGTTAACATACTTTGGATTCTTCATATAGTTGTGCCATCTATGTGCACCGTTAGGACGCAAATGATGTTGGATACGAGCAGCAGACTTCCCATTTCCATATGTCAAAAAATAGTTAGGATTACCACGAGTTGATTCTTTGTAATTGCCAAAGTATGTGTCCTTGGGAAGATGGTCATAATTCTTCTTGAACAATGAGACCTACAGAAACATAACTTTTAGTTTCTGCAACATGCCATCCTTTCAACCCCCTAAAAGTAACACAAAAACAGGTCCTGAACCTTGATTACAAATATCACCTTATGACTATTAGCTTTCTAATCTTACTAATTTATGGACAATAGACATCAGGTATACTTTACAGAAACATTGACCAACTACGTTTGCTATTTTCAGTTCTCTGCTTCTTTCTTTCAAATATTTCTAGACAAATTTTAAACTTGCGGAATCATTTGATTCACAAAGTAGCTAGACTTCCTTGGCAGCAGACTCTTGTTAAAATCAGATATTTCAAAACCTTGTATCAACAAATTTGAACACTTGGTCAACAAAAGCTCAGTTTAGTCGACACTACAGCTTGAATCACAGTTAGCACTGACACCTCGGTTTGCAGTGGAAGAGGAGAGGAGGGAGATAGTCGGAAAGAAGCAGCACAAGTTTATAAGAAAGATAATACAAGTGCATCCTAGATGGCAAATCTATGTCAACAAATTTGTGGAGTCCTAAGCTTGTCTATCTTCTGTTCCCTAAATTCAGGCTACAATGTGTTACCCCCACAGCACAGCATACATACATCTTGATAATTCTTGCAGTTTTTTGTCCCTTCAAGTCAGCAGTCCCCTCACTTTGTCAACGGATCCCTAGCCATCTTGCAGGAATTACTTTAGTAATTTGTATTATTGCATGGAGTTGAATTACATTTTCAAACAAGAATAGGTGTTTTCCCATTTTTATATGGTTTCACGATTGCCTGTTTGTTCATCATTTTCATATCTTTTTTAGGACTGTCAACTTTTGCCATTTGTTTTTTTTTGTTGATGGTGTGATTCTGCCATAGCCCAAAGGGGGTTTTCACAGAGTGAATTTGTAAAACATGCTTGAAGTTCGCCTATAAGAGCTATTTATTAAAGTCTACGATTATCAACAATGCCCTAATCTACACATTTCTCTATATTGGTTAAATCTCTATGATTTGATGTTTGATCCCTCACCACTACTCCTTGACCATCTTCTAAGACTATTGTTGAGGCAATTGCCTCACTGAGTTGAGTACAGCCGATGTCTATGGCATTCGCAGTGGTGGCTCTCTATCACTGGCTAACAAGGCCAGTTTTGACATCATATTTTAGCAACAATGATGATTATAGCTTTGCCAGTGATTTTTTTTTACTAATATTGGTTACGTTTACCAATATTCTAGCAACAAGATACATGGAACTTACTAAAGAATACGTCTTTTTAGGTGAAGAATTATATACCTCACTGAAAGGATCCCTTATATCATCTCGTTCTACACTGCTTTCCTGCAAAAGTGGCAGCAATAGGAGTTGCACAGAACATTACTCAGCCAAAGAGTTCAAAATGAATAAGAACAACTTATCGGTAAAAACCACAAAAGAAGAATTATGCATCTCATAGCCTAAACTGAATAAAAATTTCTTCCTGTCCCGCCAATCACTTGAAGACACATCATTTTTTTGTTTAATATCTTTTCATTCATTCTCCTCAATAAATGGATGATTGGTGGACAGGAAGAGAACAGGGAATTTGGGGACAACGGATTTCTATTCGCCTAAACATAACTTACATAATTTGGAAACACCACCATATCAACATTTTCTGGGACATCTGACAAAAGCTTCCTGAGAGAGTATTCACGTGTCCCTGCCGGATGTATCAACTCATCAGTGTCGAGATGAAGGATCCAGTCCAAGTTAGCTTCCTACAAGTGCATAGACAAGATTATCAATGTCATCTGCATGTAGAGAAAGATTGGTCACAAGAGAAGTAAAATAAAATGTTGTTGGAGAAAATAATCATACCCTTGCCATGACAATAGCCATTTCCATATTAAGGGACTGCTTGACAAACAATTCGTAGTTGCACGGTTTGTAGAAGAAGCTTGACAGCCATGTCTCATTCCAGATCCGACTGAAGATAAAAAATATGAATTTATTTAATATTTTGAAGTGCATTAACAAGAGAGAGGTCTTAGAATATCATAAAAATTGGCAGGAGGTAGCTATTGAAAATTTGAGGTGTTAAAACATGTAAAGCCCAGGGAGGAAATTAGCAATTTACTCTAATAATAGTATAAATTATAAGAATTACCCCATTTTTGTTTTGAAACCCTAATAAATTGCATTCATATGCCCATGTTCTGATCTGGACAGAGCCAAACAAACACTAAAAGAAAAACCGTAATCATCAGAGGTGTTGAAGGATTTTAGCAGTGGAACAAAAAGGGTTCTGGCTACTCGAGAAGCCAGAGCTCTCCTAATTACAAAAAAGAATTTCCTACATGCCTCACACCTCTTGCATCATCCCTCTATATACTAGATATTTATTATAATAAGTACCTGAATTACCCTCCCCTAACTCTTACCAATTGCCACTGCAATTTCGAAATTATACCATCGTTTCAATTTGCTTGCACCAATCTTCCCTGCCCTTAACATCCATTAACTTTCTTTCATCAAGTACCCCATGTGCCCTGCATATGAGGGCAATTTGGTCATTTCCCATGTTCTTTATAATTTATTTTTGTTGCAAGTGTTTAAAGGATTTAAAAAAATCAAAACGCAACCCCCTCATCATCACCGTCCCCTACCATCCCTACACCTCCATCGTCTCTGATTCCAAGACACTCTAGGATCCTCAAAACTATCTCTTTGTTGAGTTTGTAGTTTTTGTGTTGCTTGGATAAGCAAACCCGGATCCAAATGATCTTGCAAAGAGTATTTTCTGATTCCAATGACACCCACAAGCCCAAATACCTTAAATGGAGCATCAATGTTTCGCATCACAAGATCACTTCCACTGCCATGATCATGTGTTTACAACAACGAACTTCCCTCGGTCCATACCTCAAAGCTCAAACTGCACCAATAAACCATTTGGCCACTAGATTGTTGTTCTCAACAAGATTGTCAATCACATGCCTGATTCTCTCTAGTACATGATTATGGTTCAAAACCATGAAGAAGCTTCAAGCTTCGATTTTGCGTTGTTTATGCAACACCTCCCTTGCTTCTGGCACGTAAAAGCATTTGTTTAAGCTCGTGCCGATTATGTAAAAGCATCACCGGAGATGGAGAAAACCCTCTGTAATGGAGATGGGGAAGGTTAGAAAGAAAAGTAGATGGAGTTGCTTAGGCAGCAAAAGCATCAACGGAGATAGATAAAGGGGGCTTCACTGGAGAAGGATAAAGGGGCAGAGATGGCGGTTGCAGGCGGGGGAGAGGGTGGGAGACGGCGGTCTTTAGGGTGGGGTGTGCTAAGTTTTCATGCGTTATTTTTTTAAATTGCTTTAAAAGCTTGTATACAGGCTTTAAAAACATGTACACTTAAATTAATTTTTACAAACTACTACAAAATGAGAAAATTGCCCCTCACATGACTAGCACGTGAGGGCACTTAACGGTTGGCTTTAGCAAACTTTAAGGCCAGGGAGGATTCCAAGCAAGCAAATTCAAAGGATGAAGGTCTGGTGTCATTTCTAAGCTAGAGTGGCAATTGGTAGAATTTGTCAAAACCGCAGTAATTATTGGTGTAATTTACTCGAGTAAACTACAAATTTCGTCCCTATGCCAGATGAACTTGGTAATTGTGTGTGTATATACCGATTACAATCAGGGATATATATAAGAGATACATTTACACTCTAGACCCTCTAATATAATTATATATAT